TAAATGATTATAACATGGTAATTGACTATTAATCGGACACGTTATATTTTCGGATAAAGATTCATAATTCATGAAACATTTGATCTGATGTTGTTTAATTTTGACCAGTAAATTTATTCTATAAAGACATATTTATTTTAATCTTATTCTATTACTCTTTATATCATTTATTGTTTTTATGATATATTTTGTTTAGTAAAAAATATGGTTAAAGTATATCTGAATAATATATTTACTTAGTTAGACATGCCCCTATGCAATGCAATGGTAGCATCTATGATGAGAATCCCACATTCAACAATGGTGCATTTTTTGATAATTAAACCAGGAAAAGTCATTTACTATGTTTAATTTTTGTAATTACCCATGAAGGAGTGTAACATTAAAGGCTCACTGTGCCTCAAAATGTATACATGTATAGAAATCTTTAGAAATGGCATGCATATCTGATACCAAATTTATGGAACAAACTTTGAAACAAAAATATATTAGCATGATTAATACCATTATTGGGCTTGATGGTACATGTATATGCAGGGTTGAAATATCAAAATATAATGCAATATATATAACAATTCATGCCATGTAAATTAGAATCTATAAGAAAAAATTGATTGAAGTTGATTGAAAAATCCAAATTTAGGTATCTGTATCTTGCACTTGTTGTTGTCTTCAAAACACCCTGAAACTTGATATTTCAAAAATATTTTCCTTCAATATAATTATGATATTTAACTTTTTTCAGATATAGAAAGTACAGCCTTGTGAAAATAAATCTAGACATAAGGTAAGTAAAAATATTATTCTTATTTTTCTAAAATATGTAGAAGGCAAATACCTATTTACAATAAAGAGAAAAAATAGCAGGGATATAAGTGTTAAAATTGAGTTTAGTGATGTCAGTGCATTTTTCACTTTTAGATAGGGTTGTTATTAATGGAAAAATTGTTGAAAGCTATATGTCCAGGATATAAATATATCAACATATCAAATTTGAGATCCAGTAAATTGAAAAACATTTTAATATGTTTAAAAAAATCATCATGGCGGAATGCATGCTTGTTGTAACATAAAAAATGTATTTATAAAATAAATGAAAATTTTGTTAATATTTTTCTCTAACCTCAAAAATTAAAGGTTCAAGCACGCAAAGAAAAAGGGAAATATGTACATGTTCTCATAAACCAATCTGTAAATCAATCAAAATTGGATGTTATCAGGCAACTTATGTGATCACTGATCACTCTTGTTTTATTAATAATATATTCTCCTTTGTTATTCCTTTGTTATCCAGGTTGTTGTTATACTCTCTAGTTCTCAATAAGCTGAGCAGTCTGTCCTTTAAGCTCTTGAATCTAAATTGCCTGTTAGTGTCTTTTGAAATTTCCATCCAGTCATGCTTTGCATAATATTTCAGAGAGCAAATATCAGGATTAAAATTCGACAAGCCATGGCTGACAAGGAAAATTCAGACTGTGATGCATGCCCTTCAGCAGTGTTTAAAAAGGTAAAATAGTAATGCAATGCAAGTATACTGATATTGACTGTATTTAATTCTACAGAAATCTACAGAATCAGCAGAATAAAGATGTATCATTTAAGTGATAAAACAGATTCTTGTTTAAAACTCAAGTAAATTATCTTTTTCATTGGAATTTTTAAAAATCTGTAATGTTTTTGTGATGTGACTGAAAATATTAAGTGAAAGATATAATAGGGATATAAATTTACTTGTATTACTTACTTATATACTTATTTGCATTACTTTTTATTTTGTGAAAGGAGGACAATATATTTAACATCTTTATTTTAAAACTATGGACATTAGATAATCCATAAATGAAGGTATAGTGGCCAACTGGTTATGGCGTTGGAACTTGTTCCAAAGATCGTGAGTTCGAATCTCACCTGTACCGACAAGTGGATTACTGATGTAAAAGTCTTTCAAGTGATACTTTTTTTGCTGGTTCTGCTTGATTTCTGCTAGCTAGATTTTTGTTTTAAACTTTTCAGTCTAAAATTTGTAACTAATTGCTAATATTAAGCTTTCTTACATGCATGTATGTAATTACTTGAAAACTTTTCTGATTGCTTACTCTAATAACTAATATAACAATAGAATGGAAGATATTATGACCATTTGGAAATATACACCTGGAAATAAGTTAAGCGCACCCTGGAAATTTAATAATTGGTTGTTATTGAAAGAACTGTCATGAGATGACGTCTGAGTTGAGCTAAGAAATAGTAATTTGATAAGTAGCGATACCAATTTAGTAATCATAAACCAGTAACTTAATGAGTTAAGTTTATTTTAAACCGAATTATTGAAGCATTAGCAAAAATGATACTGTTTATAAGTATGGTGTTGGAGGGTTTACAAAACATTTACAGGTGGATATTGTTGGTAAATGGTTTATGGTAAGACTTTCATACCAGACCTTTTCCCATTCATTTTAGAAAAAATCCTAGTTTTGGAAATTTTGAATAAAACAAACCATCAGATTGGGAAAAATAAGCATTTAATTATAAATTTGGGAAAATTGGAAAATCAAATGTAACAAATATATACATGTACATGAATTCTTGTCTAAATCTATTTTTATTTGTTTGTTTTTAAGCATACATATACTTATTCATTCTAACTAAATTAAGAATTAATTAACATTAATTCTATGTAGAGTAGAAAATATATGTGTAAATAAAAATATAACATATTATAATTGCATTAACCTGCCATCTTCTGGGGAAAGGTCTGTAAAGTAATAATGCCCATTTTGTTAAACTTTTTATGAGTAAAAAAAAATCTGGAATTTTGGTTTACAACAGGCTGGCAAAAAACGTGTTAGGCAAGTTGAGGAGAATACTGAGAATACTGATCATATTGAAATGCAAGATATTGCTAATAGCCCTGCTAGCTCTTATTATAATCCGAACAGTCAGGACTTATTTGATAGTAGTTCAAAAATTTCTAAATCAGACAGTGAAGACATATTTGATGATTTTATGTATGCAAAGTACTTTTATATGAATAAAGGCGATTACAACACTCAGCCTAGTTATGCAGAAACAACCCAATCTTCTTCTAGTAACCTTAATCTTAAAGAAGAAAATGAAAAAAATTAAGACAAGAGAATGAAAAATTAAAATCATTAGTAGACCAAATAAAAGAAAGTGCAGATGATTATCTTATTCATGCAAATTTAAACCAAAAAATAGAAAACCAAGAGCTTAAATTTAGACTTTAACTTCTTGAACAGTCCACCCAGAAGTAATTATGTCATTAAGCACTCTTTCAAGCAATGACAAACATATAGAAAAGTTAAAAACAGTATGTCGCATTTGTGGCCAAACTTTTAAACAAAACAAAAACTTCTTATGTCTGTCATTTAAGTCTGAAATTTTAAATGTTTTTGTTGTGAATATTTTAAGTGATTAAACATTTGTTCACCCAAAAAAGTTTTGTGGAGGATGCAGACAGAAATTGCGCAGACATGATGTCACCAAAGGTTTATTATCACCGAATAAATTTCATCCACATTCAGAAAACTGTATTGTCTGTTTCACTTTAAATAAAGGGCGCCCAAAAAACGTAATAGCCCATTGTTTTATTATCACCGAATAAATTTCATCCACATTCAGAAAACTGTATTGTCTGTTTCACTTTAAATAAAGGGCGCCCAAAAAACAAAAAAAACGTAATAGCCCCATTGCTACCAGTACTTATATTCCATGTAAAAAGCAGGTAACTGCTACAGTTGTAGAAAATTCATGCACCAAAAATAATCTTGAAACATTTGAACCATTAAATCTTCCTAACACTTTTCCTGGAACAAGTAGTGATGCAAACTTTGTAACTGCTACAGATTCATTTGAAAAAAATAACCTTGAAACATCAGAACAATAACCTAACAATTTTCCAGGAACTAACAGTGACTCAATTATATCTCCATCTAAATCCTAATGTGATGTACGGCGTAAGCTTCTAACTGAAACAGATGAGACAGTGGGTTCAAATAGAAGTGTCAGTTCTATTTTGCTAGAACGATTTCAAGAACAAAATCTAGCTTCTATCTTGAAATGTACAATATGCTAAGGAGTCCCCAAACAACCAGCATATACAGTCTGCAGTCAATTTTTCTTTAAGGAATGCATAGAATGTTGGCTAGACATAAGAAGTCTTGTCCAGTTTGTAGGTCTTTCCTTGAAAACACAGGTCTTATTAATTTACCTATATAAGTTCAAACACTTTTTGATATTTTACAGGTTAATTGTCAATATAATGTAAATGGTTGCAAAGAAACATTTGAAATCTCTTTAATTAGTGATCATGAGAGTAAATGACAATTTAAAGAAAAAAAGGCATTTCACAAAGACCATCAGGTATATTTTATAGCAAAAAAGTCCATTATACTCTACTAAAAGAAAATATATTAAACAGAAAAGATTACATGAAGTAATAAAAAATGTTGACAATTTTTGTGATTCACACAATGAAGATAAATTAGATGTTCTCTTTTTCATGCTAAAGCAAAGTCTTGAAGACAAAAAAAGACAACAGAGCAATTGAAATTGATAATTTATGGCAGTGAAAATCAAGAACTCTTACTTCAGAAGAATGCTTAGCTCTTCGTGTCGATACTTTACAAAGTAAAGAAAACTATAAATCACAGTATCATTTTCTTAAAGAAAAGGGTTGTAATACTTTCTGTTCTCCATGTGAATTTAGACAAAGTTGAAAAAGAGTTTCCTCCCCAGAATGTTACATATTGTGTTGAATCAGACTTTTTTTGGTCATGGGGATATAATATATCATACTCCTGCTAAAAATCTGAAAGCAACCAAAACAAAAATATATGATCCAATTGACTTAAAAGAGAGTTTAACTAGTCCAGAGTTCCCTTCCCCAAACATGAAGGGTGTGAGGTATAATTATGTTCAAGCAATTGCAAAGAGTTTAGAAGAGCTGGATGCAAACATTGTTGAGGGATTACGCAAGCATGACAGAGGATCCAGCATTATTACTGAAAACATACATTAAAGATGGAGCAGATGGAATGGGTGATGTTTCTGTACACTGGGAAAAAAGTGAAACAGAATTACCAAACAAAGCTTTTAGGTTTGCATTTGCTATAGTTAAGGTTGATTGTTGTTATGTCAAATGGAACCCAGATAAATATTTTTGAAGAAGATAAACACAACTCAATCCGAACTAATAGACCCCTGCTAGAAGCTATAGCAGATGAAAACCACCATACATCATGTATTTTTGTATGATACCTATAGAACAAGAACGTTGCTATTTGAAAGGAAAAATTTTGAGAATATATACAAAAGATGGTTGGAGGAGACATGAAATAGCGTTTTTCACATCGATGATAGATGAAAAATTTGATAGATCTGAATCTGGATTAGCAGGCAGTGGGTCTAGTTACATATGCACTTTATGTGAAGCAACAAGGGAGACTGCAAAATCTGAATTAGGGTTATTCAATGTTACAAGAACTTACAAACAAACAAAGGAAATTGATGATTACATTAAAATAAATCCTGATAATCTTAGTCAAGCAAAATTGGATCAAATATATGTTGGTGTAAAGCAGGTGCCTATAATATGTGCTGACGCAATCGAAAAAGGAATTGACTCTACACATGCTGATATAAATATGGCTAGCTTTTCCAAGAAACTGATAGTAAGAGAAATTGTTGGAATCAGTATCTGGGAGATGCAGGCTGATATAAAAGTTCTACTTTTAGAAACAGAATTTGATAGGCACATGAGGCTGAAAACAGGTATTAACCCTGCTCTAATGATGCCTGGAAATTATGCAAGAACTGTTTTTGATGTAAAAAATGAACACATAGTATGTGAATTAATAGAATCAGTTGAAGAAGAAATTTAATGTTAGACCTGTTGAATAAATTCCGACATCTTAGAAAAATATACAGGTCAAATTCACCCCTAAATGAATACCTTGAGGAGGTAAAGTGTTACAAAGAAAAAGCTGTTGGGACAATGTTTGCTGCAATATTATTCATATGTACAATGGCCTAACTATCTACATAAGATAATTGAACATGTACAGGAATTAATTGAGAATGATTCTGGCCCTGGGAGCATTGGTATCCTTAGTGGTGAGGGAAATGAAGGAGGAAATAAAGTTTTCCGATATTTTAGAAAGCAGCTGTCAAGAAAAGGTGATGTTATAGGGGGTCTTAAAGATGTATTGCAGTTGCACTGGCTTTACAGCAGTAAAAAGCTACAGAATCTGTCCCAAGTAACTCAAAAACAAAATAGATGTTCCGTTTGTTTTGCATTTGGTCATAAAAAAGTACTTGCCCAAATTCTAATCTGTAAAACTGTTAAAAGAAGAGCAAAGGCCAATATCTGTGTGTCTTCATTGTTGGTAATGAAAAGGTTTAGTGTCATAAAAATAGAATGGCATATGTTACAATAACCATATAATAATTTTAGTTTGGCCTTATTGTATGGCTGGACAGTATATTGTATGCTTTATAAGTATATCCTGCCAATTTTTTTTGAAAACAAAGGTTTTCTTATAGTATGTCATAAATGTACTTGATATATCAAATACGAGGGGTGATCCAAAAATTCGTGGACAATGTGTGTATCTCCATAACGTGGCGTCCTACCGAGGTGAACTCTTTGGATATTATTAATCAATGCTTTTTAAATAAATTGACCAAATTTTAAAACACAAATTGCATTTTTTATCTATATATGACAACATAAAAACATTAAGTATCAAAATCGCGGCGCAGCTTACTTTTTCTCTGTTATGTAATCGTTTTCATCTCATTTAAACACATGTAAAACCTGTGTAAACAAAGAAAATTGAGGAAACGTTATAATAACGTTGTTTTGATGTGTATGACGGCATTCTGTCAGTATTAGAAGACATTTTGAAGTTGCGGTTATTTTACGCTCGTGCTTTAAAGGACAGGTGCTAAAAACAGCTTTATCAAAAATGGACGTCACGGATCCAGCAAAACTTCGGACAGTTATACAGTTCTGTGTAAATCTTGGAAAGACGCCTTGGGAGACAAAAACAATGATCGAAAGTGTGACAAATAAACCGTCAGTGTGTCGTTCTCTAGTTCTTGAGCAGAAGTACTCAGTCATTCACCATATTTGCCTTATCTTTCCCCGTGTGACCTCGCTTTGTTTCCCAGGTTAAAGAAAGAGAGGGAAACGTTTTGACAATCTGGACGAGTTGAGAGGAGCCACCCAATGCATACTGTCATCATTCAGCCAAGAATGGTATGCGAGTACATTTAGAGACTCGGTCCGCCGCTATGAAAAATGTGTGCGGGTGAAAAGGGAATACTTTAAAAAGTTATGAGGCAAAACGGTAACATAGATTACTTTCTATGATAGCATAACGTCGTTTGTGACGTCGTGAGCTGCGCCGCGTTTTGTCATGTCTATGTATATAAACTGGTGCAAAATCGTTAATTCTTGTACAATCTTTACAATATTTTGAGAATTTGTCGACATATACTCACTTAATAAGATACTAGAATTTCATATGATTTGCTTTAATATTTTTGGTTTTATGCAGCGTGTCCACGAATTTTTGGATCGCCCCTCGTACAGTGTATTTCAATAAATGTTTTTAGTGATATGCTTTATCATAATGTATAATACACTGATTGTATTCTATCCTGCATTTGGCTAGATTATTATTATTAATAGGTAACAAATGATAAATTAATTTTGTATATAACAACAGAAACTCTTGTTGATTAATATTTTGTATGATTTAAGTCTTTAGTCATTTAATATAAAGAGAATATTTAAGTTTTTTCTATAAATTTAGGATTTATTTTCATGGAGTGGTATGAAATTAAATATTTCATGAGTGGCAGTGGCCATGAGTGAAATGTGATAATTTTCATATCACAAGATGAAAATAAATCCTATATTTATAGAAAAACCTGAATTTTCTGTATATTATATACATTGATCTCTATTTTTAAATTTTAACTTGAAGACTACCTGGACTTAACTTAAGTTTTTTGGCAAGACACCTGTGAAATATGGAAAATATGTTTCACTGCAGTGTAATATTAATTTTTACAAATAAAATACTGAAAAATGAAAATACGAATTTTATTTCATCAATATTTCAATTATAAGTATATCATTAACCTGTTAAATTGTAGAAACAATTCAAATGAATATATTTTTTTATTAGAAAGAATTTTAGTTTGTATGTACCTTTAGAGTTGAAAGTCACCTGCATACACCTATCCACAAGATATGAGTCTTATAGACATACATTTTGTTATAATTGCATCAGTTTTAATGTTTGTGCTGTATTTAATTCTTTACTAACTCAGCTGAAAGATATACAAATGTTTTAAATAACAGGTACTTAATGAAAATTATTTTAAAAGTCATTAATAATATAAAAATATGTTAGATCTTATGTTTATTAAATTAATACAATAAACAATGATCACAATGTACTTATTTTAATATTTTAATAAATGCTAATTGGTGCCAATTTTCTTGTACTTTGAGTTTCCCATAATTATTCATCATTGAATTATCACACAATTATAAAAGACACTAGAAAAATTGACAGGAAAACCTTTAGTTTGAAAAACTTGGAAATTGCATTGAACTTTTGTTGTAAAGTCAGTTTTGCTTTTTAAACTTTAACTTAAAGAATTCAAACACTTAAATATCTGTAAATGTATGTATATTTCAATGTGGAATGCTCCATACTTAATTAGCTTTTTAATGGCATGATCATCAATTAAAACATCCATGTGTACTAAGTTATACATGCATAATTCAGTTCTGACTTACTTGCAAACAAACTGAACTGTTTATAAGATTCTGTTTTCAATGTATTCTGTGAAACATATTCTATGCATTGTTTTATAAATAGTTAATGTGAATTCTGTTGTTGGTTTTCTTTTCACATAAATTATAAGAACATGCCAATTAAATGTAATTTTTAATATACAAATTGAGTGGAAACATCAAGCAAAAAGTACACAGCTTACTCTCTTTGTTCTGCTCATTGACAAGACAAGAGTTATAACATCAAAATCTAAATGAAATAAAATCACTAACTAATGGCAAATAAAGTAAATCAATTTTGAATATTTTTTTTCTCTGTGACACAAAATGTTTATGTTGCTTATTCATCTTGGAAATATTTCATTCTATAATGAAAATAGTTTATAAACTTTCAGGTAATTAGCAGCAATATATTGGACAAACAAACAGTTTGCACTTGAAAATTCGATAGTTCTTTTTACAATAATGTTTAAGTTTTTAAATGAGTTTACTGTTAATGTTTATGTGTAATGCTATTTTCACAGACATTCTGAAAGAATAAATATAGTAACAGTCTATTTTTTTCTTTTCCCTTTTAACTGACTTTTGGAATTGTTGCAATTGATACATATATATTTTCCCTTTGGTATCACTTTTAATCCAGAGCAGAAAAAATGATGCCAATTTGAACATGTCCCTTCACATTGAATCCATTGTATTGGTGAAACATCAGGACTATCTTTAATAATACAGTTTTCATTCAAATCATAAGGACTTGGTGTAAAAGTCTTAGATGTATATACAAAGTATTTCTTTTGGGAACCTGCATTTACTAATACAGTTTCATCGTCCACTGGCACTAAAGTATTACCTACAACTACATTCTCACCAGAAGCTTCTGTCACGATGGCTTTTTGGTTATTGAAATCAAATTCATACAAATATTTTGATTTTTGTGCATTGATATCTGGTATGGTTTTCGAAGTATCTTGACTGTAACCACCAAATACTAGCATTATATTTGAAAAAACACACACACAAAACAGTTGTACCATGAAATGATATATATCTTGGGCTAATAGAAAAAGATATACTAGTGATGAAACACTCCATTGTCCTGCTATGTGCAATATTTAATAATAATATTTCTTGGACAGGTAATCTTTCAAATGGCTTTAAATCCTTATAAATCAATCCCCCTACTATAGCAAGCTTGTACAAATCAATGAAGTCAGCTGAATGAAAACATCTTGGTAGAGGTATATCTCCTGATGGTTGTAATGTTTTCCAGGATTTTGAAATAAGGTCAAGGGTGTAAAAAGTTCCATCATCACAAAACTGTGCAAAAGGGTTAGAGTATGAAACTGAATACAAATTCCTGTTCCTTAACTGGTAACCACCAAACATGATCACTGTATATGTATCAGGGACTTTAGTGACCGGAACTAGCACATGGTGTGTTGATTTGTTCTTTTAATGCACAAGATGCAGTCGTGAAAAGGTTAAAAGTGAATTCATTACTAGCTACAAACATATCTACTTGGAAAGTTTCTATTTTACGCCCAGTTTTTGTTAGGTAGTACAGATCATTCACTGTCTGGTATGTTGCTAAGTCAAGTCCTCCCCATATACAAATGTTGTTGCAATTTTGACCAAATGAAAAACCAGGACAACACAGTGCTGGTAAGCTGGCACCAACAGTTTTAACCTCATTTATAGTGTCTACATATATATCATCCTCAGTTGAAATAAATTCAACAACATTACGTTAGACGCTGTCGTCCAACCAGCATCTTCACCACTTCTCGCACCACCAAATGTATAAACAGAGCACTGATTTTCATCATAAATGTACTTATATAAAACGCGGTGCCCTTCACCTGGGTAGATTTCGCCGCTTGTCAGTTGTAATTCACTTTTCTTTCGCGTAAATTTAGTTTTATCGTTCTGACTTGAAGCTTTTAATGGCAGAAATTTCATGACATTTAAATCAGCTGTTTCGGCGGCCATTTTACTTTACCCTGGAGATATCGCGGGGAATGAGAGCGAGATTTCCCTTCGAGATATTCAATGCGCATGAGCACGCAC